ACACACACACACACACACACACACACACACACACACACACACACACACAGCTATCATGAATGATCTCAGAATAACCTTGACCTCTACATAACAATTATTCCATTGATCAGCGCCTCCTCAGCTCAGTCTACCGTCAACTGTTCAGGTCATCAAGTGCTGCATCAGATGTCTGAGCTGTGAGCTCACACTGTGCATGTCCTTAACTCTTCTGTGTCGGGTTAACTCACCACATAACTTCAGCGAGGGAGAACAGAGGCCTCTGTGTGGACACCTGTCACCCACGTACCCACCCACGGCAGGACACCTACATACCATCTAGGTAACACCTACATAACACCAAACAACATACACACCACCTCTATGACACAAAAGCAGGATGTGTACTCCAGTGACGAGAATCTTTTCCAAAGCCGTTACTTGAATATTCAATGTTTCACAAGCTGACCACAGTGAACTCGGAGAAAATCTGAGCAACCATAGATGAGTCAGTTGTTTAACTTTTCCAAAACATTCTTCTAACTTCCCCGCCACAGTAAGGCAAACAAAAAAATGTGTTTGAGCTTGAAACAGAAAATAAAAGTCACATCATTTTCATTTAGATGCTCCTCTATTTTCCATAAAAAAGGACAGTTCCAGCATTCTGCACAGTATAGTCAATTGTATAACGAAGTAAACAAGAGTCCAGACAAACAAAATCACACATCAATAATAATATATTAAACATAAATGAAAATACTGAATTTTATGCATGCTCTGAAAAAAATAGTTAAAAGGTTGAAGAGATCTGCTTCCTCTTGAGTTTTGATGATTTTTAAAAACAGACAAGTCCAGGATTTAAATGATTTTCTCCAACCCTGATCATTATTTGAATTTAAAAGTGTTTAAATAAAGGAATGAGACTTAATCACATTTGCAGAGCAACATGTATTAGCTTCGTTAGAAACAGCTGGATCTGCAGCAGCACAACAGAGAGGAGTTTGAATCTGGCACAGCATCACTCCGCTCTGCTCTGCACTTCTCGAGACTGCCATGCGAAAAAACAGCCACTTCACACAGAAGGTACAAAGAGTTCAAACGTGCAAAGAGGACGATCAGAGTGGAAGTACTCAAGGAACGTTTATGGCACACACACACAGCGCTTCAAGAAAGTCAGTTACTGTCTCAAGTCCCAACTACAGTCCAAACAAAGACAAAAGAAGAAGGATCAAATATTAAAGATGAGAAGTATAAAAGAAAAGCTTGACTTACTTCTAAGATGTTCTTTTGTCCTTTCAGACCATTTGTTCCTAGATGGTTCCAGATTATCCCAGTGAGAGTCAAACGGCTGGATGTTACAACCCGAGCCCTTCTCGCTCGCTCTCTCGTCAGTTGCCTTCAGCAGGACTCATTGGGCTGATGTAAGACACCCCTGCACAGAGGAAAAAAAGAGAGGGAGAGGAGCGAGAGAGGGAGAGAGAGAGAGGGAGGTAGGGGGGAAAAAAACTTCACATTCTGTGGATTCTTGGGAGCATGCCAAAGTCCCAGAATTCCACATGCCTCACATAAGGTTTCAATTAAGGCAGAATCCAACGCTCAATCAAAAAGCTTTCTTCCTCCTGAAAAGAGTCTTTCTTTTGACAGCTAGACGCTGGAGCAACAATCCGAGGCAATGTTTGTGTTGCTTCCCTCTAAAGTCATTTCAGAACACATTTGTAGGACATGTTTGTTGCTGCTGTCCCAGACCCTTTCACATCAAGGTTCCATGTCAGGTTTAAACTGCTGCGAATACTATCTATAGTACACCTGTTGAGTTGGTTTGTATAAATAAAAAAGCTGATCTTTGATTTGTCATACAAGCACCTAACAATCCACTGTGTATATATCAAACGTGGTGGGGCCTTTACTGCAGCCAGATCCATGAATAGTGTGAGTGAAGTGTCATGGAGAGGTTTTTTTCTAATCAGGTCATAAAATGTGTGTTTTGCAGCTGATGTGGCCTGAAACATTTTACCAGACTGAAGAAAGTATTTTGATCAGAGCACATTCTGACATCAGGGTTTCCTGGTTCTTGATGTGTGGAAAGCTACTTGTAGAGCAGCAAGAAAAAGGACACTTCTGATGAGTTAAGTGATGACCTGACTTTTTCACCGACAGCTATGGGTGGATTTCCAATTTTATACCATAGACAACAGCTTCGAAAGTGAAGCCAAATCGTCTTGTTGCCCCCTGGTGGCTGGCTGAAGTATAGATCATTAACCCTGTTTCCTCCACGTTAATAAAAAATGAGGGGAAACGTTATGATTGACAGCTGAGACTGACTTGTGATTGGGTCCAGCGTGTGTATCGGTGAGACCTCGATAAAGCAGCTCCATCTCTGGATCCAAATACAACAAAGGCGCAAGATACCAGCAAATATATCCAGGACATTTTGCGACAAAGTGAACATGCATCATCCATCTCTATATACAGTCACTGTCTGGCACAGAGGGCTGCTCTGGATGACCTCTAATAACTTGGTGATCGCCTGACTTTGCATCAAACAATGTTCTCTGGACTTCAAGTGGTTTTTATTAAGTGTCAACATGCTAAGCTAAACTGGTTAGAAAGATAAACAGTATACTGGCTAAACATTCGCTTGACAGCGCTGTCATTGTGAGCAGGTAGCCATGTTAGCATTTAACTGGCATTGAGCTTGAGCACCTACAATATATGTATATAGAATGTTTTTTAAACTAAAACTAAAATAATAACTAATGAAAACCATGATAATAACTTTTCATTTCTTTAAACTCAGAACCTCAGATTTAAATCAGATCCTTGTAGATCTTCATATTCACATTTCATAATCATCCGCTCAAATATCGTTCTGCAAACTAGGACACCATCAGAGTGAGAAAGGAAACAAGTCACAATGGAACAACAAATAAGAGTGACTGAAAAGCTGCAAAAGAGCTGCATTTTCCAGTCCAACTTAAAAATAAACCACTTGCTGCAATATCTGATCCAAGATACCAAGGGCTATAATGCAAAAAAAGCAACACATTAAAAACAGTCATAAGTTTTTCCGAGTAGGAAATTTGTTTAATAAAGATGTTAGAAATCACAGTTAGTCTTAAAGCTGAATAATACCGACTCTTTAATGATTACAATCAGAAAAGATATTATAAATACCCCCCACAGCCCGTACCATGTACCTTAATTACATGCTAGTAAGAAATCACTCTATGATTATTTCATGTCCAGTATTCTATAAAAATCATCAGGTAAAATGATTAGATGGTAATTTCCACCTATAAAGCATCAATCGATGCATATAAAAATAAGTCTCATAAGCAAAATAAATAGATGCACCTGAAGACTGCTTCATCCAGTCACTATGACAGGGATTTTGTCCTTCATTTCATGCTGTGTTCAAGTGTTCTTCAAAACAAATATGAACTGAGAGTGATGACGACATATGATGCAAACAACACTGTACACTTCATCTTTCTCATTCATTCATTCATTTTTTAGGACGGGGAAGTAATTTTTCAGGAACCAATGCACATGACATCTGTTATTGCACATCTATTAAACTACAGATCGAGAAGTTAAGAGACAAAGGGAGGTTGGTCTTTGGGTTGTCTCTCTTTCTCTCATTGTTTAAACTCCGTTTTTCACCAGCTCATGGACCCCATGTTCGTCGATCGTCAGTGTGGGATGAAACTCTCGTCCCTTCACCAACTCTTCAAGGCCCTTAAAGCACAGACACCATCAGGTCATTGTCAGGGGATGTACAGACAACATCCGGAATTTCTATTTCAAGCCTCAGACGTTGCCTCCTTACCTCTCCCCCATAGGACACCAGAGGGGAGACCTCACATTTGATTGGCAGGTCTGTTCCATCCTTCAGGCTGCGTTAGAAGAGACAAATTAGGTGAAGATCAGAAGATAAAAGGAAACAGAATGCGTGATTGTCTCCTTAAAGAAAGAGTAGAGAGACAGTAGCGGAGAGAAGCAGCTGTGAATCCTGGACACAGCTGTTCTTCTACTGTAGCTTGTGATTAGAGTTCAAAAGGCAGAGAATCAGAGTTTCATTATTCCCAAACACAACCTGTGATTAGTCCCGTACTCCGTAACAGACTTCCTCTAGAAGAAAACACATGAATTACAGGTAATATGATTGCATGTCCGCCCAGTGCTTTTGGTTAGCTGGAGGAGCTTTGCACCACATTACCGTCACTCAGATTGTTTATTTCTAGATAATCATTACAGACGACAATCACTAATCACACATCAGGTGTTTCAGATGTTCGGCTGAGCGGCCGCCCACATAGCTGTATCAGAAGAGTAAAGGAAAAGCTGAATGATTAGGGAAGAAGCACCCCATAAACAGTCAGAGCCAGAATAACATTCATGGATTCCATGAATGTTTCTGAAGCACATGCTCATTTATTTTAGTTTTCAAAACAAGCAGGTGGACTGACGCTAAGGAAGTTTAGCAAGCAATGTTCTGCTGCCCTTGTTTAACTGTTAAACACACAAATAAAAGCTTCATCAGGGACTGTGGAGTTGTTGCTGTTTGCCATAAAGTGTGACGGGAGCCCATTACCCAGCATGCAATACATGATGTGTATTAGTAGCAACCATCTGAGGGAAAAATCCTGTCAGCAGGCCATTATGACTGTACATCATCTAACCAGGACGCCAGAGTGTTGAGTTCTCAGTTGTCTGAGCTTATTGTCGCTGTCATTTACTTCATCACAACAGACGGTAAAGATACTGAAAAATGGAGGCTGCCTGGAATCTGTCCATGCGGGTTCCTTTTTTTCAGTGGTTATGAAGGAAAGAGGACATCAAGGATCAGAAGTAGCGTTCACATGTCTAAGAGAGAGGGAAAATGAGAGCCAGAACCCCGTCACCATGCACTCAGAACTGCAGGGGGATAATTACTTTCTGTTGCCATCCTCTGTGACACTGCCTGCTGCTCCGTCTCTGGAAACATTGCATGGGACACACAGGTGCAGGACCAAGCATGAGAGAAGGGGAAGTGAGAGTGTGAGGCTAAAAGAATATGATGTCTCTAGAATAAACCAAAAGAAAAAAAACAAATGCATATAAAACAAAGAGTGGCGAGTGTTCGGAAGGTGAGGAGGACCACAAGGAACCTGGAACCTGTTTGTGTTTACACATTGTGTGAGACGTGACATTTGTGATGGCGTGTTTTAGCCGGCTGGCTATGGTCACCTGGGTATGGCCGGCACACGTCTGCCGTTCTCATCGATGAAGTGGCCCCCAGCGTTGAGCACCCAGCGGTGGTGGAGGGACATGAGGGCGTGTTTGGCTGTGGTGGGTGTGTCCTTTCCATCCTGACTGTCTGCATTCTTCAGCGGGGAGAACTCGTCCTCCCGCAGCACTTCATACACAACAAACTTCCTATTGGAAACACATCAGCACAGAAGGACATCAGACACAGCTATTAGAGTAACAAACTATAATTTATAATATTATACAAGGAATGTATTCTTCAGTAGTTCCCATGTAGCTGTTTAATGTCTAAAGCTAAGATTGTGTTTCAGGGGTGATCAAAATGCTCCTGAAATAAGCAGTGTATGTCTACCCGGCTGAAGACGTAAGGAGTGAGAGCACTTGAAGGGTGCACACAGGCAGGCTCAACTGAGGTACTCAGAGCTGTCCACTTGTGATCGGATCACTTGAATCAGATGCCAACACCAGCTCTGAACTGGGCCAGTGAGACCCAAGATCAAACAATACTGGGGGAAGAACAGAAAACAGTAGGACCTTTTGAAATTGGGCAGCAAAGTGAATCCGCCCGTCTGGATTCTGCTGGAGGTGCCAGTCGGTCAGTGCGAGCACAACCGTAATCCATCTCCTTGGCAACACTGAAAACTATTCCTCCTCCCCTGCTTTGCAATATAGTGAACAAACCTTGAATCAAGCTGGAGATGTCTGCAGTGTTTTTCCATCAGTCAATCATTACGGGAATCCTTTCATTAGATGTAAAGTTCTATTAGTACTGGCATGACTCAGAGCTGATGTCATGTAACACTGGTGGAGGTGGAATGAGTGAACAGCTCATAAAACCTCCATCCTCCTGCAGAGAGCTTGGCAGGCCGGGGCTGCTGGACCAAGCCTCGGAGCAATGGCATGACTGAGGCTGGTGGATACAGATCAGGACTGGAAAAAGGGGCTGGTTCATGTGTGGAGGAACAGATCAAGGACCAGTCAAACCCCGAGCTCGGAGGATTGCCAGAAGAACATATGCAATTAAGCTGCCTCTCAAAGGAAGCATAAGATATTCATTGTATTCTTATTACTTTAAGGACTTTAAGTCTGAGGTACGATGCCATCTGCTGACACTGTCACCAATACACACACTCTGTGGAAAAAATGCACTGTAACTCACTTGGCAAACTGGAAGATGTCAAAGACGAACTTTTCCATTTTGATTCCATTTGGTTTGTCTGGTTTGATTAAATGACCCTGTGAATCCACAAACGGGATTTTCTTCTGGGCCACGTGGTGCTGCAGCCTTGGCTCGTACTTCCTGATCAATAAAAAGAAAAAAACATATTTTGCACATTTACTGTATAATGACAGCATGATACTCTTCTACTAGAGGCAACCAGAACTACAGAAAAATGTTCGGTAAGCCTTTGACTTACTGTACTACGTCTCTGAGAAAGGAAAAGCTGAAGAAGTGATTGGCCACGTTTCCTGCATTGAACATCAGTCGACCGTCGGAACTGCGCTTCTCAGCCGTTGCCAGGGTGATCTCACTGTACTCCACCACCTGATAATGCCCATCCACCTTGCAGACCACACCTACGGCCTCGGTTGGATTGGTTTTCTCCACCACCTGGAAAATGTCACAGGAAGAATTTTTTTGGTAATTTGTGGAACTTTATTGTACCACTAGGACATTTCCCTTGGACATCACAGTGTCAATATAAAACACTATTAACAGCAGCAAATATATTAACATTCATTTACATAGAAAAAATAAATGTAGTGTAATACTAAACAAAGTTCAATGAGGCGGAAAAATGGACAGGGGGACAAATGTGTCTGAAACTGTGCTTTCTGTCCAGGGGAGGAGCTGGTAGTCCGAATACAGGACAATTTACCCAAAATACAAATACCCAAGTGTCTATGGGCAAGACACTGAACCCACAAACTGCCCCTGACAGCTGTTCTGTCAGTGTGTGGATGATGTGCAGTGAAGAGCTCTGATTGGTGAATAAGCTCATGAATACAGTGCATCTACCATCAAACTATTCACTAAAATAATACATTTATTAAAATGGGGCTTGTGACATCAAAAACTTCCACTTTCTACAGCAGCATGTTAGAGCCTGCACTGGGAGAAAAAAAATCCCTCTCCTCATCTGTTGGCTGATAATGACAGAGCGGAGTCCTGATGAGGGGGTTGGTGAGTGGGGTGGGGTGAGGGGGTAAAAGGGGGTGGTGGTGAAGCCACATGAACTGTAGTGGGGCTTAGTGAGTTATGACGGGAGGGTGGGACGCTCCTGCTCTGATCCCTCCATCCCTGCTCCACCGCACGTCTCATAATGTCAAACAGGAGCAGGGTCTGGATGATCTGCAGTTAAATATTTCAACATATTCTGTATTAGCTGGAAATATGGTGAAAATACTCAGAATGAAAAAAATATATATATCACTGTGGTATTACTAAGAAATAGCGTGCCTAGACACGACTAGACTGAATTACAACCACTTCTGACGCGCAATTCTTTCTCTTTAAACATGCAACTGCCATGAGAACGAGGAAACTTAAATTTGCTATTTGAATAAAGTTGCCAGACATTTATTTCACAACATATGCAACAACTGTTAGTCATAAATTTCACATCCTGTTGCCAAAACAGGGGGATCATGGACAATGACAACAATATATTTGGACTTTTTTTTAGACAAAGCCTCAAAAAACACTTATTTGGTTATGTTCTCAAATGGTTGCATGTCTGTTCTGTATTTATTACTACTCAAAAGACTTTTAAAGCAGGAGGTAGTTTTTAATCACACTGCTGTATGTTCAAGTGCTTATTTTGCCCAGTGAGTTTGATTTTAATTAATTATTTGTTGCTATATAAAAATGTGAAACTTCATAATCGACAGCAGAGATTGACTTGGTTGAGCTCTCTGAGTTCTTATCCAGGCTATTTTGGCTACATTTCTGGATAGTGGGAGCACTTAGATACGTGTCCATTATCTTTATATACAGTCTTACCTAACAATAAAGACCTTTAAAGAGATGGAATAACACATAAACACCCCCCCCCCCACCACCACTAGAGTCCCAACAACTTTACAAAGGCTTCACAAATACAGTTGAAGTAGCTACTGCAATTCTGATAAAGCCCCACGAGAAACTACCTCAACAGTTTTGATGGGCTTATAAAATTAAAAACAATACAACAATCCTGGTCTGCTCCTACAAGCTTTTAGTAAAAGTCAGGTAGTTCTTCCAATTACAACAACAGTATCACATAGAGGGTATCGATTTAATATTGCTTAATGCAGTTTAAGACTAAATAGATTATGTTGTAAATCTTTAATCATGTTTACCTTTTTTATGCTACTATTTGTGGAGTCATTTGTTGCTTTCTTTATCAACTAAATATCTAGAGGAGAACCAATTATTGTAACTACAAAAAAAATTGTTTTGTGGATGGATCCTCTTAAAGTGATCTGTGTGTCACTTACCAACTGTTCATCTATTTGTTATGTACAGTGCAGTGGCTGACACATGTTATTAGCCAAACAGAAATTAGAAGATTATGAAAAAAAACTAAGAAAAGTTGCAATCATGAGAACAGTTTATTTGCTAATGGAAAGTTTTCCAGTCCAACCCCTGCACCCTGAAAAGTCTTTTTCCTTCCCTGAAATGAGACCACACTCCAAACAGACAGTTTAGGAAAATATGTCAGCTTCTTGAAACACTCGTGTTATCTGAGACTGTGATGAAAAGTGGTGATGAAGAAGATTCTGGGCTCATCCCTCAAATTTCCTAGAAAGCTGTAATGAGTTTATTGCCTATAAAAACCAAACAAGGAGACAAAGTGGCCTGTATCGCCACCCAGTGGTGAAACAATGGAAGGTGCAGCTGTGCAGAAACCTGGCACTTAATTCATTGTGAGTGTTTGTGTACACGCGCACGCACACGCACACACACACACACACACACACACACACACACACACACACACACACACACACACACACACACACACACACACACACACACACACNCACACACACACACACACACACACACACACACACACTTACTTCCTGGAATTTAAACTGGACTGACTGATCAGACTGGATCAGCCAATGCTGATGTACTTTGTTCACTTGCACTGTGCACTCACTACACACTTCAGTATAACTAACTAACATAAAAATAACATTATCTTTGCATACATTCATCATTATAATATAATGATAACTTCCTGGTGTGATAAAAGGTAACTCTGATGTTATCAGTGTTACAGGCGCACTCAAAAACAAGGGATCATTGTATCCAGCAACTTTATAGCTGGATCATAATAAGTCTGCAATTGGAAATCTTTATGGAGAATGCACTGATCTCAAATCAGAAATGGAAAAGACAGCTCCAAAGGGAAAAAGCATGAAAGTGCATGTGTGACCAACCTTAGCTCCACAGTCTGCTCCCTTCTGCACACAGAAACCAACAAATGCGGGATCTGCCACTTTGACCAGGATGTTATCTACACAGTACACATGAATGAACTGGATCCCCCTCCTCTCCATGTCATCCATGATGCCCTGGTTCCCCAGAGCTCTGTAAAGACCCCCGTTCCCATCTGAAACACAAGCACAGACAGGCTTTTTTGAACACCGCAACTAAGAGACTCTCACTTACCAAAACCAAAATCACAAATCCTGAGGGAGTTTACCAGGGGCCATGGAGAGCTTCCCTTTGCTCTCAAGGATGATCTTGCCATTGTAGTCCATGGCTGGAAGCATGCCCTGCTGAAAGAAGATGATGTTGCTCTTGTCCAAGCCAAAGTAGCCGTGTCTTGAGAAGAAGTCCTTTGTGGACTCCATTGTCCTCCCACTGGTCATGATGTACCTGAAGGTAACACAGAAGGAACCTGGCACTATTTGATCTCCTTTATTTCAAATCGATTATACAACAGTAAAACGGTATTGCTGTGGGACAAAGGGATATCCAGTACGTTCAGTAACTCAAAATCTTCTTCAGAGACGATTCACAAAAACAAGAAGCTGACATCACCTGAAGCCAGGGAAAGAAAAAGCTCATCTTTATGACTGATAATAAACTTCTTTACAGAATCAGACCTTCTGACATTAGCTGCAGTTACTGTTAGGCCTGATCTCTTCCTTGCTCCACAGGAAACTTATCTGTTTCTAGTAACACAACTCCCTCAATTGAGCTTCCTTTTACCCTCACAGTGATTGGAGCAGTTAGTCAACATGTATTTATTGGTTCTAATAATGAATAAAGAAAGAAGAGTATTTGGAGGCTTGGATGTGTTTATTATTCTTAAATAAGGATTCATCTGAAAGGCACAGTAACTAAACTGTCTTCCTCAACTCTTCCTCAAAGACCTCCCAAACCATGACAGCATGTCTTACCAGGGAATACAGCACTTGATTTTGTGCTTCTGCTCAGCCAGCTGTTGCAGCTTCACAATGCGTTCGGCCTGGATCTGAAAGAGGGTTTTGTGTGACGGCAGCCCCACGTCATACATGCCTTTTGGGTAAGAGACCCCCAGTCTGGTTCCTTGGCCCCCAGCCAGCAGCAGGACTGCCACTTTTCTCTGAGAGATGTGGTGAAGACCTGAGGGGGGCAAAGCACAACAGATTGAACTGTAGTAAACAGAAGAGTTATGGCAGGGAAACATGTCGATGTACTGATATGATGGAATATGATCCCAATTGACGACCATAATATCTAATCTGTATTGATGGTCATAGTGCACCTTTGTTCCTGATAAATAACAATAAACAGAACTAAAATGTATCGACAGTTTACTGAGCCACCACTCAACATTTTATGATCAGTCCTCCAGGACATAGGTAAGATCACATCACATCACAAGCCCTGAACTAATAACCCTGCCCAAGCCTGTGACTGGCTTTATTGTGGTCCATTGGTTCAATGGTTTATAATGGTTCCAGTTTAACTTATGTAAACTGCTGTTCTTAATATCTATCTTTCTACTTGACGTCATTAAAAGGTTTATGGGCAGGTTGGCTAGACTTTGACTACCCTCCCAAATCTACACCCACACACACACGTTGCACACACACGTTCGCACACACACGCACACACACGTTCGCACACACACGTTCACAAACACCAGACCGAGGTCCCAACAGAGCAGTGTGACCTCATGAATGGGTCAGGCAAAAACTCCTTTTTACGTCAGGGCCCAAATCAAAGCCAGATGTTCCCCTCTGCACACCACCACTGTCATCATCCACCAAGAAAAAAAAAAGAAGAAAAATCCAACAGACTCTGTAAAAGTGTGGTCAGACCCCCACTGCAAGGGGGGATTGCGCAAAACATAATGAACAACACAAGCAGACATACTCATATTTCAGATCTATGCGGGAGGGAGGCTGGGAATCGTTTGTGAACCACAGAGAGGACATACTGGGAGTTTCTAATGTTCTGACCCAACTAGGACTTAACGATAAGCTCTTACAAAGGTGATTTAAAAAAAGGCTGTTATGAGGGCCTACCTCTGGAATTTCACATTATCAGAACGCTCACTGAGCCATCTCAACATCATAGCATTTGGGTTAGCGTGTGATGTTTAATCCCATCTTCCTCTGTCTTACCTCACTGCTTGAAAGTCGTGTCTGCTCTAACCAGGTCAGACTTGTTTAGCAACTGGAATTGCTCATACAATATCTCTCTCTCCAACTCCATGACATTGTTATAGTGCCAATAAAAAAATAAACACTGCCAAAATAAGATATGATGTGTCCTTGGGACATATACCACTGTGGCCAAATGAAGCCTCAGGTGGTACCTGGATGAATGAACATTCTTAAGGCAGACACACTGAGTGGAGCTCACCTGTTTGCTCCCACTCTTTGAGACTCTCCCTGTCCCTCGTCACACTCCCCAGCACCTCCCGGGGCACCGGCTCCATGCGGGCGTCCATCTTCTCGTGCTTGCTGCTGCTGGACACCTCCATGGCGTTCTTGAAGAAGCCATTGATCTCTTTGAAGTCCATTCCCTGCAGGTCAAGGGTCAAGTTGGCCTGCTCCTCAGGGCTCAGCTCGCTCCAAAACTGGAGGAGGTGGGACTGGTCGGCTTCGGCCAATCTCTGAGTGAGTCCGCTGACACTGGCGTCCATGATGGCTGTTGGTTTTGATTAACTCTACAACCACATTGAAACACAGATGAGAACATGGGATGAGCAGAGGGAGGATCCTGACATTGATTTAACTAATTATGATTATATTTAGAGGGGAAACTACACAAGTTCAGTCATGACGCCAACTCAACACACCCGGTACTAAAAAAGATGAAGTCTGGGTGATGGCCTTTTATTTTGGTGGTGTTAGTATTCCTACAATCCTCCCTGGCTACTGGACCAACAGCACTGGTGACAACACAAAACTACACCCAGTCTGACATTTGCATCTTGAACCGGGTGGTGTGGGTAAAAGGTTAATTACAAATAAATACTGGAATGTGAATGTGCTCTCTCTAATGAACCAACACCCAGTAGCTTGCTGTACCAGGAAACATCACTCAAACACTGGAGGGTGAGTCTCACCAATTTGAATGGGACGCTTTTGTTTTGAAGCAACACAATCCTGAACTGATGTAAATCCTCACTTTAGATTTCTCCTCTGACACATCTGTCCAGTCACAGTGGACAACAACCATATTGAACTTAAAGTTCACAAATTCAGAACTAAATACAAATTTAAAAGTCATTTCAAATCTCCCGATTATGACTTCTTCACTTGTGTAAGTTTCCCCACGTATATTCCTCACGTTATTGCATAATTTCAACATCTTAGTGCTTTATTTCTAATTATCTATCAAATCCTATTTTGCTGTTTATTTCTGTGAGTGGCTGTTAAATGTTCCTGTTCTCGGGACGTGACGCCGGGTGTGAGTGGACACCTGTCAGACACAATCACGATGTAACGATGACTTCAATTCTTCGATGGAAAACATTCAGACTTTACGTTTCCACGAGGCCATGTCGACTCTTCCAGGAGGTTTAAAGTTAATGCCACGTTGTCCTCAACCAAAACGCGACGTGCGGCTCTTAGCAGAGAGGACTCCGCTGCTGGCGTGGCGGAGTGAATGAATGAAATACAAGATGATAAAGGACGAAATCAACTCTACAGAGCTGGAGGGCTGTCAGAGCCAAGTCCCAGTCATCGGTGAGTGAGGTCGGACGATGAATTCAGCGAGAGCAGCCCGAGCTGAGCCGAGCAGCTCTGCGAGTGTCCGCTCCGTAAAGGCATCAGATCCGAGATTAAACATTAAACTCACCTCGCTGCCTCTCCTCCGACGTGAAGCACCATTTAATGTCAGCGAGCGGGGACGAGTTTACTTTGTGCTACGGCTGGCGGCGGCGCCTCCCACCCGGACTACACCTCCCTGTACGTCACGTCTGACGTGGCACTAGCGACGTTGCAGAGAGCGTGCGCGCAGCCCGTGGCCTCAAAGCGCGCGTGCCGCCTTCAGGTACTCCTCGTAAATTTAACGAGCCGAGTGATTTTTTTTGGCTGCGAAAAGCGATCCCTACGGTGGCCGAGACAGCTCAACACATGCAAATAGCGAATTCAAACGCAATTTAATGCAAATTGCAAATTAAGAAAATGCGTGCAAATAGAAAAAACACATAAGAAAACAACTTCATCAATTTGAGTGCAATGTTTAGTGCAATGTGACGTCTGCTACTAGGCAGTGGTGATAGAACTTCACAAAGCATTGAACTACAGCTTGGTTCTTCACTTCCTTGGGTCCCCTATGGTGGTGGCTGGTAATAGAATATATGTTTTTTTGGGCGGGGTGGGGTAAGCGAGATGAAGCTATACTCTAGAGAGAGTACATACCCACCAATAAACTAAAGAAGAAGTTTTCAGTACAAACTACACAGTTAGAGTTTCAGTTAAAATGAAGACACAATAGATGGCCGTGATGCCCCCCAAAACAATGAATGACATTTATCCCTGCAGTGAATTTTTACAACTCAGAGTCAACATTGTCTCTAATGCATGTGTATTCTGTAAGGCAGAGACAGAAACAACTGAACATCTGATATTCTCTTGTAAAGCATCTAGTCTATTTTGTGAGGACTTTCAAAAGTGGATATGGTAATATGATGGAGGACAACAATTATAAATATAATTATAATTAAATAATTTGATTGTACTCACCAAACATTTCTACAAAGCACCCCAAGCTTAATTGTATTTTTGAAAGAATAATTATTGTCATTGAAACTGATGAACTCTAAAAAAGCTGCAGTTTTATGTGAATATATGTTGAATGTATCATTCCCCAAACAGATATTGAAATTACTTCATTTTTCTGTATTTAGAAAAGATGTTTCTAATTGAGGTGGGGGAGGCACAGTTTTTTGTTTATTTAGGGGGAATGATGAGCCTGCAAGTTCGCACTCTAAGAAAAATGTAGAACTACATATGTACAAATGATGAAGGCCCGGCTGTCAAAAAAGCTAAACTATAAAGTGCTTCATGTAACCCTGGTGTAAGCTCGTCCTCATCACTTGCTGCTGATTCTGTAAATCATGTTGGTTCAGACCAAGCTCCCCGCCCTCTCCAGTTCGGTGCCGCAGGTGAGACGCCCAAGCCTCATCCTCTCCGTCTGCCTCAGGATCTCCTCCGTCTGCCTCAGGCTCTCCTCYGTCTGCCTCAGGATCTCCTCCGTCCMCTTCYCCAAYGATTTTACYCAGTCCATGTCTCTGGCTGTGTGAGGTCCCTGTTCAGGCGCCAGTGTGGCAGTAGACCATGCCATGGGGTTCCCACCATGACAGCCAGAGACAAACCAGTCCAACCATTGCGTGTTCAGCAACATCCTTTCGCAGGATGCATGCTTGCATTCCTTAGCCAACAATTTCAGGTTTGCAGTATGCTTGCTGCTTCATATAGACATCATTATTCTAGCTTGGCGTTGGGTTTCCATTCTTCTGAGGCTTCTGCACATGTTCCCTGTTTTATCTTGGCATGCTGCTTGGCTAATGTTATGGAATTTTCATAAGACACTGTATCTTGTCCTCTCTGGGGAAGAGTGCAACAGGCTGTTGTGTTTGTGTAACAACTGCTAAAACCCCAACAGTTATACGAATAATAATTACTCCTCACATGTGTCATTCATATAATCGAACCTTTGTATTCTCAGTTATTGCTATAACACAGTTCAATTCAACTGATACAGTATATATTCGATATATAACAGTGAACACAAAGCAAACGAATAATACACAACACGTCAATAAGGGGCACTGTACCACCGCGGGCATGCAGTCCAAATATCGCGAGAGAATTGTCCCTAGAGTTGGTGCCGAGCACTTCACTCTGTGTTGTCAGTCAAAAGTGTCCATTTCACTTAGCGTTTCAGTTGGTGAGGGAGATGCTCCGTGGCATCTGTAGCTAGTAGCTGGAGCAAACTCACGGCCCTGCGCACGTGTGGAGAACGTCCGTGGCAGAGTTCACACAGGAGGAGACACGAGGGGAGAGGGGAAAAGAGCGTGTCCCGCGCCACACACTCGAGCCAGCCGTGCCACCGCCGCCCACCGTGACTCTGACGCCGTCCTCTCGTCTAGGCACGCCAGCCGTCCTCCGGTTCCTCGCGACCCACGGCAACTCAGCTCCTCAGCTCGACTTCTTAAACTTTCTTCTTTCGGCTCCCGCGCTGCACCTGCCGTCTCCTCTCAGCGGCTCCGCTCTGCCGGAAGTCCCGCCCCCTCACGCTCTCCCACTCTGTGGCGTCTCTTCCCATTGGTCTGTTATGTCAGTCATGGGCTCGTCACATTTGGGAAGTGCGAGAGCTTGGCGAAGGTCAAAGCCTTCACTCCCTAGACATCACAGCTATGAGACTGCGTAAGCAGGCACTACTGTCTCCAAAACTAGGAAATACATTTGATTGTTTAGCAACAAGCACACCCATAGATTAAATGATCTGTTGGGGTTTAAAGGCTGACTACAGGAAAGCAGACTTCATCATATGAGAGAGCATAATGCATAGATGTTGTATGGATGAATTCTGATTTTCTCCTTGGCCAAGCTTCAATAAATATTTCAGCATAAGGAGTTTGGCCTTCCAAACAGCCAGAAAACTAGCTCTCTCTGTTATGCTGAGTTACATTTCAGCTGGGGGCATAACTGGCTCCATTGGGGAGTTCAAAGATCATGGCCTCACACCCAATCTGGTGGGTGAAGAGAACGTGGTGTTGGAGAAGGATTTGGAGAGAAGTTATGTAAGAGGTACACAACAGAATAAGGCCAAGAGCTCGAGAAATTGTGTCAAATATGACGGTTTCTTTAGTTTTTCTTTTTGTTACTTTGAGTCTTATTTCTCTGGAACATGGATCTCCAGAACTTTTCAGTCTTAGATATGAAGCTCTCTTTCTCTTTCTTCTCGTTGTCCAAAACCTGCTCGGTGTTCTTTAGAATCTCCAGGTGGTGAGACCTCTTCTCTATCCACTGGAGTCTCTCCTTATTCTGATCTTCCTGTGTCTGCATCATCTTTACATCGAGGCAGGAGACTTCTTGATGCTGTTCACAGATGAGACGTGACAGCTCATCCTCCCACTGGCTTTTTGCCTTTTCTTGTTCATGTTGTGCCAGGGCCAATGAAATTTTGCTTTTAGAGGTTTCCTCCACCTGTCTGCTAAGGCATGCCTCAGCCTCCTTTCTCCTGTCGGATTGAGCAATGAGCTCCTTCTCCAGTATTTTAGTTTTTAGGGCAATATCCCGTTCCAGCTTGATATGTTTGGACAAGTCAACAACAAAGATGGTTCTTTCATGGTTTGCCTCAGTTAGTTGACATTGCAAATTATTTAGCTGACTCAGAAGGTTAACCCTCCTTTTCAGCAGTGCAGTTATGTTTTTCTCCTTTTCACCAATTAGCCTAAGGAGTGACATGTAGTCCAGGCCATTGGCTGCTTCCGGGTTGTTGGCTTGATCCTGGTGATAATAGACTGGTCCCTGGTTATAGCCTTGATACTGGGAATTATAGACTGGTCCTTTGTTATAGGCTTGAGCCTGGTTGTCACTCTGGGTGCAGTTATTGTCACTTTCTTGGTTTAGAAATGTCATTGTATCAGAATGGATTCTTGAGAATATTTTTAATTCTATCMATTCACTATCTTCTTCGTTCAGTCTATTGGCAGGTACCAAGATTAATGTGCATTATCTTCCTTCCCCAAAGTCTTTACATTCAAGAGATCATATCAGCTACAAAGATCAAAGAGGTCTAAAGGGCAGGAAATGATGCGTCCTATTTTCCTAACTCTTGCCTGCATAAATAAAGATTAAAGAACCTCATGGCAGAGCAATTGAGATCCAGTAGATGGTGGTAATGCACCTTGACATTGGTTGCTACTCACCAATAAACCAAACAGAGGAAGAAGAAGAAGAACAGAATTTAGTTACATATAAAGAAGTGCAAGCAAGCAGTTAGGAAAATGGTATGAAAAGCAAAAAAACAAAGTGGGCAATAAAAATAGGGAGATCAACACCTTTGGGAGGAGTTTGGGGCATGATTAGGAGCATGAAAGGAATGGCAGTATCCATTACTAATGATGGGGAGGATGCAGCAGTGTCTGATGAAGAGAAGGCAGAGATGATAGCGAAAGCACTTATTCAAATCCATAGATCTGACAACTTGAATGAGGATGGCAAGGGAAGAAGGGCAAGGATGGAATCCGCTCATTCTGGGATTCTTGAGAAATGGGACAATACTAACAGTGCAAATGAAAGATCCATTAGCTTTGGAGAAATGAGGAGGGCAGTTATGCAATGTTAAAGCAGTTAAGTATGGTAGCATCACTTAAGGTGTTAGGTTTGTATAATAAGGTATGGGAAGTTGCCAGTTGGAAAGAGGCGCTGATTGTTCAGGAAACCAGGGAAGGTTCCATCAAATCCAATGAAATATAGGCCATCACATAAGGTAAAAGTAATGGAAAAACAGACTACAGAAAGATTTGCATTTTAAATGGAAAGTAGAGGAATATTATCTCGACATCAGAGTGGATTTTGGAGATAAGAGGGACCATGGACCATGTCATAGGCTTGTAAACAGAATTTTTTTAATGTAGAAAAGGCATATGATATGATTTGGAAGGACTGATTAAAATAAAAGCTGGGAGAGCTTTATCAGGAAGATATATGGTGGAAAATGGTAGTGTCATTTGTCCAATATTATTTTCCATTATGATTTTTCAAATTCAGGGTGATATTGGGCAGTGGCTCTTTGCTGATGATGAAGCATGGTAGAAAAGGGGAAGGAATATTAAGCAAATTATGGGTAAAATACAAGAGGCAGTTATTGTGGTAGAAAAATTGTCATATTCATTGAACTTCAAACTACTAAAGCGTTCATGTTCACTAGAAAAAGAGGTGTTGATACACAGTATGTATGGACAAAAACTAGTGCAAGTGAAAGTCTTCAGGTTTTGGGATGTGTGGTTTGACGCCAAGCTCACATGGGAATGGGGAGTTTGTCTGTTTCTGCATTTGGGTCCGTTCCATCTGTCTGATGTAACAATTTTTTGTTTGTTTCTTAACAATACAATCAAACAAACAGCCAGATAAACACATAAGATAGAATAAGTAGGTAACTAATTTTTAATTCAAATAAAATGATAATATTATAAAATACACAGTTTATAGGCAACACATAACAGTTTTTAATGTCTTTGTTACAGGATTTAATCATTACTCTATCTTTATCTAAACATAAAAAAGGGTCTTTTGACTGGAAAACTTGCATTTATGTGTATTAACTTTGGAAAGTATAATCAACAATTCAAAAAATCAAGAAAGAATATGGTTTACAGTTGAGCTGTGCAATTAAAATTTTCAAAAGTATAATTAATATTTGTGAGTCTTAAATTTCTTGAGGAAATGTTTGCAGGCTAAAACCTAACAATAATTTACCATTTACCTCATTGACTACACACTTGGTATGTGTATTAATAATAATCCAGGAAAGTGCAGTGTTGAATTTAGTGTGATCTGGACATGTGATACGTTCAATATTGATGAAAAAAAAGGAATGAAACAGTTAAACAAAAATTAAAGCACAATACTCGTATTGTTGCTGCCATGTTTTATATGGGGCTGAATGACAGAGCTTTTATTTTGAAAAAATGTGAATTCAGGTCTGAAGAATGTTGATTGCTTAACAGACCTCTGAATTAGCCAACATGCAATGTAAAGAAAAAACAGCATTAGTAAACTGTTCAAACTTGTAAATAAACAACACACTTTAAAGGTCAAAAGAACCAGGTAGGACACAAAGTAATCTAACGTCACTCTGCACCATACACTGTTTATAAAAAGCATTGCACACAACCTCCGGCACACAAACAATAAGAAGTGACAGTAACTAAAGAATTGTTTGAGGAGGACTCACTAATGACAAGGAGACATTCTGAAGTAGCCCTGGAGCATCATCAACACAGGACAAGAGAACAGACTGCACAAGTACACATGAATGTATTATAATATTTATCCAAAAATGTTAGAATAGAAGAACTTTGTACTGCACTGTAAGAACTTGTACTTTACCTGCTTTAGGTATAGATTTTGCTGATACTTACACATTTCTACTTAACTAATATCTTGACTTTTATTTGTGGTGGAGTATCTGAATACTTCTTCCACCACTGTCAAACACGAGCATCGGTTTCTCACGTCCGTTGAATTCGTCAGTGTTCAGCTCAGCCGCCTGGCGGCGACAAGGAGCCAGTTTCCCCTTCAAAACAGATAGTGTGGGTCCTCCTCCTCCAGGCTAACGTTAGCTAGCAGCCTTGCTTCTCCGGCCACACCTTCACCAACAAGTCGAGGAGATGAAGAAGTTATTCGAAGACTTCAAGAAGGACATCAAGTTTAAATCAGCGGGACCCGGGAAGAAGCTAACAGAAGACACCAGGCGAGTAGCGAACTTTTCTCAGCTTAAAGCGCTAACAACAGCTAGGTGGCTAACGTGTGCTACAGCAGGTTAGCTGGTAGTCAGCTGCTGGTGTTTACTGATTACTGAGCAGCTTGTCGTGAAGCTAACTAGAGATATGCTGACCAGCGATCTTCACATGGTTTACGGTAGCGTTTGACTTCTGCTACGTGTTAGCAACCATATTATATAACACTCTGCATCTAAGATGAGGGCGGCTAACAAGTAATCCCTCGACAAGCTTACTCAGTCAATAGGTGAAGTCAAGTCCCATTCACCTGCAGCGTTGGCTCAACCCCGCGTGACTGAGCTGCTCATTAATCACGGCGTGCTGCAACGATGCTAACGTTGTTGTTAGCATGTGAAGCGCCATGAGTCAGCTGAGGTCTGACAATGTCCACGCTTCTCTGCCTTCATCATACACAGCGCCAAGCCTGAGGCGGTGCAGAGCAGCTCCGGGGCCAAGCACAACCGCCATGCTGCCAGTGAGGGGGCCCAGCGGGCCGGGGCCGCGGCTCTGGCCAGGATTGAGCAGCATCCCCGGCCCAAGGTGCACACCTCTCAGGACCACATCAGGAACCAGGGTGAGACACGCTGCTGCCCTCTCGTTCAAAACAACTTACTGTATGATACTATCATTATGTTATATAATCTAAACAGCTCACTGTTGGGAAGAGCATGTGCTAGTGTGAAATATTACATGTTGAAATTCTTATGGAAGCAGAGAGCATAGTTTAAGGTTTCCATGAGGGGCCTTTGACTTAGTTTGGATGACTGCCACAATTCAATTATGTGTTCAAGTAATTACTGCAACAAAAGCATAAACACTGGTGTCTTGAAAAGATGTATAACAAGCTTTTCTGCTTTTGATCACAGTTAAAAGGGAGCTGGAGGCGGCGGCACTGGCTGAGAAGGATAAAGCAGCGACAGCAGAGGTTTGCAGTGATTTGTCAGGATAAATGAAGCTTGCTGAAGTTACACGATTAATATGATGTTTTGCTCAGCATTTAGTCTGGCACTGTTGAAATGACTCATTTCTTCCCAGGGATTTACAGTGCCAGTGAGAGATCCCACCTGTCTCTCTGTGTCGGGTGTGTATTTTACCTGTCCACTAACTGGAGCCACTTTAACTAAGAGTGAGAGGGAAGTACACATTAAGGAGGCCATTTTTATGGTATGTTTCCATGATATACATCAATTGTTCTTGTTTGTGCTCAAATTAGAATGTGTTTGCAGTGAGATTACATCATGTCTCAGTTTGTCCTGTTGATAAAACATGTCCTATGTTCACTGTCAGCGGTTTGAGGAGGATGCAGTTGAGGCCTCTGTTATGATGGTCCACTCATTTAACAAAGACAAAGAGAAAGTGAAGGTCGCTGTGGACATCATAAGCAAGTAAGACACTGCAATGATTGATAACAATACTAATAACAGTGGAAATATTAATTAAACTTCAGTCAAAGAATTCAGTTTCATTTTTCTTTGTTGCTTCATCATCAGGTATGTGGATAATATATGCAAGTGTCCCACAGAGGAGAAATACAGGAAGATTAAACTCAGCAACAAGGTGTTCCAGGTGTGGAAGAAACTGGACTCATTGCCATTTTTCTTTGTTGGATCAGAACTGATAACCTTAAAGATTTTTTCATTTCATTTTATTCCTCCTGTTTTTTTCTTTAGGAGAAAGTGCGTTCTTTGGAGGGCACCAGAGAGTTCCTGGAGGCCCTGGGCTTCACAAGTGTTATGCTTCCTGTAGAGGGTCAAGGTAAATTAGTCCTGATGCTTTTGATGAATATCATCAGGGTGTTTCCTGTGCACTGTCCAATGGTTTTTAGCTTTCATGTCACATTCAACAACATTACTTGGCGAATATAATTTATTAAAACAGTCAGTCAGTACATCTTTTCACCTGTGCTCACGTTTGCTGGAATACAGAGGAGGAAGAGGAGTTCCTGGTGTTACCAGAGCAGAGTCCTGAGGCCCTGGAATTGATGAAGGAGAGAAGGGATCGACTCCAGAGAGGCGAGCCAGTCAGAGCTCAGCTGGACAGACAGCCCCAAGCTTTCAGACCCTCTCCCAACGCCCAACGCTTCGAGCTGCCGCCAGAATTTTACAACCTGTCAGCAGAGGAGCTCAAGAAAGAGCAACAGCAGAGGTACAGACCTCTCGGTAATAGATGCTCCAGTCAAAAAACAAGTTCACACTACATGACTTTCAAAGTTGTCGGATCATTGTGCAGACTTACTGTCTTGTAATCGAGAGTCTTACACATCAAGCTGCAGGAGACAGGCAAATAATTCAGCGGACATGACAATTGTATAGAATTTAGAGCGACTCAGGTTGCATTTGAACCATAGGTCCGAACCCGACTCAAGCCCATGAGAAAACTAACCAAGCCCGACCATAGCCCGACATGCATTCTGTTTTGTGTCCAAACCCAACCCAAGCCATATGCAGTTAAAATAAGCAGCGAAGCAAAACTACATTGTTCCTTATAAACAGTTCAAATCAAAATGGGTTGTTTAGCTAACAATAAACAGTTACACAGTAAATGGATTTCAGTGGTGCAGAGCAATTTAGGTGCAAAGACTGAATTACAACTGTTAATTTGTGGATTGGTGAAGTCATCTCTCCAACATGTGCATCTCATACTCATACCACGACTGTGGACTGTTGGTGTTTATCCATCTGCAGTAGTTAACCTCTCAGAGAACCAGCATGTTTTTATGTGTGTTTTGTCAGGAGTGATTTGGTGGAGAAGAACGCCATGCTACGCACAAAAGCCATGAGGGAGAGAGAGGAGCAGAGGGAGAGAAGGAAATACAACTACAGCCTGCTCAGGATCAGACTGCCTGATGGAAACCTGCTGCAGGGTAAGAACGCCCTCCTATTTTTAAATACCAACATTCATGAACAAAGTTGTTAAAGTTGTCATTGTCCCTGATTGTAAATGATGAGTCTGTGAATGATTTGTGATCACAGGCACATTTTATGCGTGGGACCGTCTGTCTGTGTTGTTTGGGTTTGTTCGGGAGTCCCTGGTGGACGGCTGGCAGCCCTTTCAGCTCATTGCACCTGGAGGTGTAAAACTACAAGAGGAAGATGAAGTGGCTCTTGCAGAACGGAACCTGGTGAGTTGTAACAAGCGGCATCTCATGGTACTGGCCTACGCAAAGTACTTTGAATCAAGATCAGATTTGTTGTCATGTATCAAGCTGATGTTCATTAACCTCTACCCTGTCACTGAAAATCCTGTATCAGCCCTTTGCTCCAGTCAGTTAATATTCATGTCTGTATGTTTCGTCTCAGGTCCCTGCAGCTCTACTCACCTTCTCCTGGGATGCAGCCGTGCAGGCAGATATCGCAGCTGCAGGTGGAAAGAACCCCACCCTTCTCAAACCAGGGCTGCTGGAAGCCATTCAGACCCTGAACTGAGCAGACGTATTCTGTCCCCAAACTCTTTCCTGCTACGATCCTCCCTGGCACTGCAGGGGGTGAAGTTGCTCCTTCCACAATGACTAGTGATGAGTGTTACTAACTGAAGTCAGTAGCAGCGATAGACTAGGGGCAGCTTCATCCTGGTGGTGTGTTCTGCTGAGCGTAACCCTTCTCTCGTCACTGTGGGGTAAATGTCACCCTGCAGTGTGTCTCAGCAACACACTCTGCTGAAGAAGCACTTCTAAGACATCTAAGGAGAAAGCAAGGGACGAGTGTGGTTTAGTAAAGCATCCTGAATGTACATGCTGTGTAGTGAACAGACTGGTTGCAGTCGTCTGTGCTCTACCCTTCAGTCAACCTGTCAGGTATACTTCTCGTGGCATGTGGAGAGACCTTGTTTCAACTGTCATCACTTCCTCCTCTGGTTTTTGTTGTTGTTGTCTAAAGTATTCAGTCCATCTTGCTTCCAACTGTTGAATCTGGAAATTAGTATGGTTCTCAGAGCACTCACCTCCGCCAAGTCCCAACAGTCCCCTTAAAGCTAACGTTAAGACTAATGTTTTGTTTGGCAGTGTTGTGGGTTCGCTCAGTGTTTAATCTGTCAGCTGATGGTCGACTGGTCTGATAACAAGTCTGTCTCTGTAAACACACACAAGCTTCTGTTGCTTGTCTTGTGCTCTACTCTGCAGTGGCTTCACACTCCTCAGTGCTGTACTACAGGATTGTGTGGTTGCTTACACAAACACAAAAGCCCAGATCAACAAACATGTTTTCTGTTGATGGTTTGACTTAAAACTGAGGCACATATTTATTTAACCCCTTAGACTGAGTTATTAGTATTAAGTCAATTCTTAAACCAAAATATTTGATCTGATCAGATTTAAGTGCTTTTATATTAAGCTGTTTGAAAGACTTGGTATAGAATTCCCCAAGTGATTTAATAGTTAAACTGCAAAAGCCTCATGTTCTCTGTCTTAAGTCATGAATTAGTTTTAATAAAAGTTCATGTCACGGATCCTGTCGTCCAGAGAGGTGGTTTTAATTCATACTGAGTTTTGTATTTGTTTGTATCAAACACATTTAATTCAGATTAAAACGGTTTAAACTTAAACACAGTGGTTTTCGTGACAACATTTCACTGAATCCACTGCGGAATAAAGGCAACAAAATTATTCCCTGAATGTTTGTTGTATGTTTTAAATCCACCTTTTTGTCAGAGAAGATTTTGTGTATGAGTATAACCGTTAAACCTGTACAAGCTAATTAGTTTCCCCTGCTTGTGGTTGGTTAAGATGACAACGACCTACCTCTCACCATACATCTCCAGTGAGTCATAAACCAACATAGATTCTGAAAGTGTTGGCCTGTGTTGAACTTTTCTGTCACCACCATCAACCTGTACCACTGTCACTGAACCAAACACACTGACGTACCTGCTATGTTGACGTTAAGGATTTGATTGTTTTTTTGTTTAGTTCCAGCGTTTGAGGGCAAGTCTGCCTTGAGCAAGAGTTCTGCACTCCACAGGTTTCAATGGAAGGGTGCAAACGTGTTCTCAGCAGTGTAACTTTATTCTAACACTTAGTGAGCTGTTGTGATCTATCCAGATGTTGTGTTTTAACCTGCCTGTATTAAAGATCGCTTGCACTGCATCTTATTTAAAAAGCAGAACTGAGGCATGACTGTTTGTTTGCATTGTGTATCTAAAGAGAAGCTTTTCTACGACTTCTCATATATGACAAACTAAAGAGCAAATATTTGGGTCTGGATCCCCCCCCTGCCAAAAAAAACTATTGAACACAAACCAAACCCTTCAAAAAACAGTTGAGGGTTTCATGAGTGTCTGGTACATTAAATGTGAAAATGCAACCAAGTAATTTACCCATACGTACTTGATTCAACATTCAACATTGTATGCGAAAACTAAATTCGTCTTTAGATACATTTACAAAATATTGTGTTGAAGGGTTGAATGTGTGTGTGTGACAGATCCATAAAAAACACTGCTGTCTCGTCACAGAAGATCAGTGTCCTGCATTAAAAACAGTTCCTAATAAGAAATATGCTGAAAAAGTGATGGCATCACATAAGCAAAGTTACCAAGATGAAGCTGAAGGAATGAGAGATATAAAAGTGCAGTACTTTTATTCATGTTTAATGAATTTATCCTGTTCAAGTATTCTTGAAAATACAGAAAATACATATTTATAAAACACGTGACACTGGACCTAACTGTACAAGTACAGATCTAGCAACTACACCAGTGAGTTGTCAGAATCAGAAATTGCAGAATAAATGCACCCACTGAAACCAAAAGGGAAAATTTCAGCCTCTCATTTCCCAACTAATTTCTGGTTAACTATATACATTTAGAGCATAAAAAACCCATGTCTTTAATTCAACATGTCAAAAAATGTAAATAATGCTGTTCTCAACATCTTGGGTGCTTCTTCGAGAAAATTCGGTATTTCCATTCTGCTCTGTTCAACTCGATCTGCTGTAGCTAAAGCAGTGCAAGAAAGACGCCACCTTCCCCTTTAAAGAGGCCCACGCCAAACATGCCCAACTGAAACTCTAATGCAAAAAATCAGACCCATAGTTACTGGACACACCTGCCCTCAAAAGTCAAGTCAGACACTGATTTTATGCACAATTATGTTTTACAGGCAAGATGGCTCCTGACTCTTTAAAAAATTATTAGGTGAGTGGGAACTCACGATACTGAGCAGATGCCGCCTGCTGCGAGGTGCCTGTACCAGGGTGTGGTGATTCATGTTGCTCGAAGATGAAGCACCACAGAGTTCAGAGGCAGGAAGGAGAAATTGATGAGGAATCCGGAGTAGCTTGGTTGGGGGAGACTGCATCCTGTTCTCAGGCAGTAGCGAGTGCAGGAGCGGCGCTGGCCAGAGGGAGAGCAGCTGCGTCGGAGGGGTTGACTTCCATTAGGACGTCTCCATCACTGGAGGAGTTCTCTCTGTTTGGGCCTGGAGAGTAACATTTAATGAGGTTTCATTTACATCATGAACCAAATGCATGAATCCATTTTGAAAAGGGTTTCTACGAAGAGTTTGCAAATAATACAGATAATAATTACTATTTTTACATTTTCAATGTAGGGAAGAGGATTAGGGCCACTGTGGGAAAAAAAGAAAAAAGGAAAGAATTCGGACTTTTTTCTCAGAATTCTGAGTTTAAAGTCAGAAGTATGGGTGCCTGTAGCAAACCAACTTCGGGGGCGCACTAGAGTGGAGGGGAGAGCTACGTGCGGACCGAAAATGTTGGACCTCAGTGAGCTTTTCTGAGAAAAGTCAGAACTCACTTTTTCCCCCCACATTGGCCCTAATCCTCTTCCGTATCAATGAGATACAGCTGAAATAATAAGTTTAAACTGTGCTTATACGTTTTTTTTCTTTTCTTTCTTTTTTCGGAGAGCCTGACTCATTGGAACTATATTTCCCTCCTTTAGTTTGGGTAATAGAGGGTAACAGTGACAGCCCACTTTTAGAACGGCTCTGGTTCAGGAAGTCCGTCCGGAGGTCGATATTGCAAATAAAACATGCTTTTCATATGGATTAGTGGCTCTCATAGCTTATGGTAAATCTACCTTTGATTTTGATGATATTATGGCAACTGATTAAATCTCTATTCAGAAAAAACATGGGATCATGCTTATCTCCTGTTTTGAAAACACTTCCCAACTGTAGTTGGATCAACTTTGCCTCCGTTCTTCAGAGATGATTACCAATTGTCATGAAAATCGGTTCAGTGAAAGCTTCTTATGTGAGTCAAAATGTCCAACTAAACAGTAAAAGCAGACTGTGACATTATTTATTCTTGCTGTGTAACTCACCACTCTTTGTGGAGATAATGACACAGTCTTCCTCATCATCTTCCTCAGTGTCAGCCTGAAAACCGTCAGCTTCTATTGCTTCCGTCTGGACAGAGAAGTGAGACGAGACCGTAATAAACTTAGGGAAATTCATACTTTCATGAGATACTAATCTGTTTAATAATGTATTATAAGAGCAAACTAATTATGGCCCGCAAAGTGGATAAAAGCTGACCAGTTTCTCTACCTGCTCGAGATCAGTACATCTCTTCATGAACTTGGTGATTGACATGCTCCCTGTGCTCTTCCTCTTGTTGGAGGATGAAGATGTGGTGGAGGAGGTCTGAGGTGTAGTAGGAGAATTTCCCTGAGAGCCCGTGGCAGCCTGGGGTTCTTCTCTGGACTCCTCTCGGGCGCCTGTGGTGAGGTAGGTCCACTGGCAGGGCAGTGGAAGAGCCTCCTGGCCCAAACGGGACAGGACGTCTGTGTGCACATACCAGCAGCAGCGCCTGTAAGTTGAACGCTTCTCATAAACAGCGTTGTTCTTGATAAGGCGCTTCACCTGTATTCTGCATCGAGAGGAAAGAAATCAAATTATTTAAAACTGAAAAAAAAACATAAACAACAAAGGGTACTGAGTCTAACACATATCTATGCTTTAGAATAACACTTCTTGTGACAGTGATGTTTTAGGATATTTGTTTTAATTAGTAAGGGAGGGAGGAAATTACCAGGGCGTTCATATACAATCTACATGTCATTTTGTCTTAGAAAATTTAACTATTTAAATCTATTCATCTTATGTATTTTATGCCACATAATCAGTCTTAAACTAACCTGGTGGGAATGTTTTCTGTTGAGTTCTGGGGGCTGGATTGTTCAGGTGGCGATGATGATGATGAAGAGGATGAAATCTGCTGACGACAAAACTCCTGAAACTCTGTGATGATCACTTTGCTGCTGTTGACATTGCCGTGCAGCAGAGGTACCAGCTGACCGAGCACTGTGAGAAAGAACAGGGTCAAGTTTTTAGGAAATTGCGAAATCAAATTTTAAATGATGAACAAAAACACATTTTAAGATTCATTTACTTAAAACTGGATCATTTAAGTTTATCTGAAATTTAAATTTAAGTGAAACTTACTTAACATTATTATGCTTACTAGAGTGACTAATTATTGAATTACAAATGTTATGATAAATAAACCAGGAAGTAGAAACAAGTAAGCAAAACAAAGCAACACACAGACAATTGACAGTCTTGTACTTCTACCAGACAGGAGACACCGAACAAACCAACTGCTGCTGCTTTAACCCTGAGATGCTGCACTAGTGACACCCTGTATTCAGACTTTTTGGCGCGGCTATTGCAAGTTTCACCAATCACAAGTGGTCACAGGAGACACATGCAGGACATATGTTAACATCTGGTGTGAACACACGTACTAAACACTGGCCACTAGTGATTGGATCTTTCGGGACGGATGTCAATAATAGGTGTGTACAGGGGCCAGTGAGGTAGTGATGAGGCGGGGCCAGCCCGAGGTTATATGTGAGTGTAAACTCAGCAGGAGACGATTCACTAAAGTACAGACACAGACCAGATGAGTGCGAAATACGGGGAATCTCTGGGTGCAAGACCACTTGATTGACACTTGAGACATGCGTGTTATGGGCTCAAATGTTCACAGACAGCATTTCTGGTGTGTATCTGCAGCAGAGCTGTAATGTGAGGTTTTTGGTATGACTGCTGTATTTCCTCGAATTAAAGTACAGCTACATATGCTACTAAATGCCAGGACTCTTCTGGTCCTGCAATAGCAAACAAAACCTTGTTAAAACAAATTAATGGAATGAACAGAGACATTAAAACAATAGTAAAAGTTTTTTGTGGCGCATTATGCAGAGAAAATAGGCGAGACCTAAACTCTCCAGAAGAGCAGCATGGCTCACACTCCTGAGCTGCGCTGCACACACAGGCAGTGTGGCTGTGCTAACCTAATGACATGGGTGCCTAAATGAAAAGCAAGATGCTCCACGTTGCACATGCCCCGCTCATGCCATGCTCATGCCCCGCTCATGAACATTTTGCAAGATACAACCCTGGCAAGACAGTGAGGTAAGAGAGATTCACGGAGAATCAGGTTTGTGACCGAAATTTGTGAAAAAAATCTAAAGTTATTGAATTAAATGTCTACTGGCAATGGTAAAGGAGTCAATTTTCAATTGAATAATTTGTATACTTGCTAATTTAAGCGTAAAAGATGCATCAGTAAATCTTGTGACACACACTTACATTGTGCTTCTCTCTGACACTTCTGCGACAGCTCCTCTGGGCTCAGGCTGGTGTCTGCTTTGGGTAAAGGCTCAACCAGACACACAGCATAAGGCTGGAAGAGCTCCAGAACGGCTCCTTCTCCCTCCCACATGCAGCCCCTCACCACCGGCTCCAGAATCTTCATCTTCTTCTTGGTAGACATTAGCTCGTCCCACTCCTTTGCTTTCACTTTCTGACGCAGTTTCTGATTCTCCAGGTCGCCGCTCTACAGGGAGATAAGAGAGGTTAGAAGGTGCAGAATGAAAGAATTTTGAAACACAAATATTGAAATAACTGTATGTCAGATTAAGGGGTGAAATATTCAAATTTATAAAAACAAATGCATGCCCTACCTCCTCTTCCAGTGCCCCTTCATCATCTGAGAGGTAGCCATGAGGAACAAAGAAGCCATCGTCATCATCGTCATCTTCACCTCCTTCCTCCTCATCTTCCTGAAAACGATCAAGAGTTCAAAATGTTTTATAAAGTGCACTCATCTACTTTATGTGAAAACAACATC